AGATATTTCACTCAGCATAATGTCCTCCAGGCTCACCCATTTTGAATAATACTGCATGAGTTCCTTGTTTTTCAATGCAGCATAGTATTCCATTGTGTGACTATACCACAGCTTCTCTATCCATTCATTTGTTGATGGGCACTTAGGTTGTTTCCAACTCCTTGCATATATCTGCTTGGATGTCAGTTATGGTCTCTTTGCGGTATATTCCCATTAGTGGAATTGCTGGGTCAAATGGTATCTCTATTTGCAACTTTTTGAGAAAGTGCCACACCGCTTTCCACAGTGGTTGCAAGAGCCAGAGATTTTTACTAACAGCAAAAATTTTAACCTACAGCAGTAGCAGCTGTGGTCACAGCAGAGAGCCAGAGACTTCATATGAAAGAGAGTTGACCTTGGGACTGTTTCTTCATGGAACCAGAACTAGGCACTTTTGCCCAATTCTGTTGGAGGACTCTGGGGGGGGCGGGGATTGGCAGGACTAAGAGCTTTGTAATACTGCCTAGACACATGGCTGAAGGCTGAGATGCCTGTGAGCACATTCGGAAGCTGTCCTGTCTGAGTGTATCTTGCTGTCAACCTGAGTTATAGGCTTTTTATTTCCCTAATATGATTCTGTGTGATCTGGAAGCTGCCACAACAAACTTTGGACCAACTAGATAAGAGGTGCAGGAGCATGGGAGACTTGTCTGACCTCCTGGGAATTGGTTTTGTGTTGTGGATGTTGTTGATGGGGGCAATCCCCCCTTGTGGAGTTGATAGAGGTTAGATGTGGCTATCCTTCCATGACTCTTTCTCCTTTTGCAGTATCGCATTTGGGAAATCTTTAGTCAAGGATCTCTCCAAAGTGCTAAAGAGCAAGAATGTCCTTTTATAGACTAAGGTGCACTTGATTCAAGCCATGATCTTTAAATTACTCACTATGCATCTGAAAGTTGGACAATCTGAAAGGATGACAGAAGAATCAATATTTTTGAGTTGTGGTGTTGGCGTACTGAAGGTAAAAATGTGAGCTTCATCTCACAAACTCTAGGCATGTTGTTAGGAGCTAGTCCTTGGAAAAGGACATCATGATTGGAAAGGAAGAGGGTAAACGTAAGACCTTCAACAAGATAGACTGACACAGTGACTGTAACTATGCGTTCAAGTATATCAAGATGATGAGGATGGCATGCAATAGCACAGGGTTCAGATCCATTATTCGTAGGGTCACTAGGAATCATAGTGAACTCAGTAGCACATAACAACAACTGGCCCATAGCTGACCTTTTAATGGGTTTTCAGAGGCAGT